CTTTTTTTATTGACTTTAGACTTTTTTTAGTAAATATGTTTAATATACAATATGGCATATTATGTACAATACATACATTACAATTTACAGATTGTATGAAAAATACTTGTACCACTTTTAGAATAACGGGTTTTGTGAAAATTTGAACTTTCGTGGCCTCACCCTTAGCTGGAAGCGTAGTATAATACAGTGCTGGTTGCTAGAATTTAATTTTAAATGTACTGATAAAGTATAGTTAACAGCTATTGATAAAGTCTCCCGCAAGTCGGAGTGGAAACTTTGTTGTTCTGTTTTTCGAATGTAGCTTTAGGACGTAAGGTCTGAAAATTAGACTGAAGGTACGGCTAGTGTGGGGCTATAACATGAGCGATTTTTAAACGATTTTGTGTTCGGACTTTTTTTTTGTTGTTAAAGAAACCCCCCGAAAAACGACGGAGGAAAATACACTTTGATCGTTGTACATTTTTAGCTTGTTGAGTGTGAATCGACAGTCAACGGGTACCTACAATCACACGGGTATCGTATCCACCACCCTAATACTCGAAAATATGTAATTTTAAGCACATTTTTAATGCTTTTGAACGGAAAGTGATTTTATCAGAAATAATAATCGAACTAGATATGTCGACGGCAACTAGACATATGAAAACAAAAACAACAGTCGACCGGGCGATGACCGGTGCGTTTTAATGAAGAAAAAAAACTATCTATACATATTATATATCCTATTTTGATACTACAATGACACCGAGGGGTGGCCGGTAAATGCTCATTCATCTGTCCTGTGATGCGCCGTGGTGTGTTTATTAACGTCAAAAAAAAAGGCGTACCGGTGAAAAAACCACACAGACACGGCGGTCGGCCGGACTAAAGAGAGTACACAAGTGATGGAGCATATAATAACATTATCCAGAAGGGCCCGGTGGTGGTTACGAGGTGGTGTCTTTACAATATGTATTCTATTATACACAATAATATAACATAATATTATAATAGACGTCCGTACAGATAATGCGTATTGTGGTAATCGATTTGTAAAAAACGTCAAGTCGAGTAAAAAAAAAAAAAAAATCAAAAAAATCTACCGTAATTAATTAATATATTATAGGCAAACGATAGAAATCGTTTTTCTAATTTATTGTAATATTATAATAATTGTATATATTATGTTATATACCTATGGGGAGATTTTTTTCTAATTTGTTTTATTTTTTATTTTTTACGAGGGTGCGTGTCACAACATTGCCGGTGGGATATCAATTAATTAATGACTTCTATACAAGTACTAATCATAATACCTAACAATACTGGCTGGTCAACGGACCACCGACCGCCGCGTGCTAGCTTTTGAGTGTACCGATAATGCACATGACAACATAAACTTGTATGTTATTATTTATGATGCATGACTTATTGTGTGCTCTAAAAGCGGTTCTTCAGACTCAGTTCACAGTCGCATTATAGACAATCGGAGAACCCACGGAGTGAACCTAAACCCGGAAAAACAACGAACAGAGTATAATAATTAGGTACTTAATCGGCTCGTGGCTGACATTCGGTCACCACAACAATTTTTACATTACATTTCGGGTTTAAAAAACAAGACACTGAACAAAATCCAGCATTTTGGGGACGGTGCATGTTGGAGTATAACATCACTTTCAAATCAACGCTTAATCTGATCATGTTGTTTCTCATATAGCGTACTTAACAACATAATGAAACTAGTTTGCTGGTACGGGATACCTGTTGGCTGTTGCTTCGATGGCACGCAGAAACCTATTAATTTCTGAACTATAGATTTGCCACATGAAGAAATTGGTTCATTGGTTTAGAAAATACCGTAACAATAAATAAATGAAAACACATTATCGTAGGAACTTAAGTCTCTCAGCTCTGCAACGGAACTAAAAATTACCTATGTAAAAATGACATTTTCGCTATTAAAATCACCCTTATAATTGACATATGGAGTTGAAAAACACCGGTACAGTGGGTACTAACCATGGTTGAAAGTTATAGTTAAAAAAGCTCTTTAGGTAAATTTATACCAATAAAACCATTACATAATAATTATCTGAATTCTAATAATATTTCCTTTTTTCATAAATGTACCTATACAAATTGTAAATAAACGTACTGTTTATAGTATGTATAAGTAAAATTTAACGTTAGTATCAACCCGTAACAATATTCTGTATTTAATCAAGTTAATCAGGCTTCTTCGATTTACAACCTAACATCACAAGTAGACATTTTTGGAGGGGAAAATAAATATCATAACTTATAGGGCCACATTTACCTTCAGTCTGATTTTTTTAGTTCAAATACTACGCCCAAAACGTGAAGTACAAAATAGTTTTCCACCGCTTGTAGCGAAGAAGTGATATTTTCTTTTGATTGGACTAAACATCGATTATGCTTTATCTCAAGAAACCTCCACATAAATTTTGAGCCGAATCTTCTGCTTTTATTACATTTCTCGATAATTCCATCCATTAGCTAATTATTGCTACGACATAAAAGTAGTGTGAAGAAATATGGAAGACTTTATGATGGTACCTTTTATTTTTTTATTTTTTACATTGAAATCATCGTAAAAGCAATCGGATTACATTTGGAAGCTTTAAAAATGGCGGCGAAGCCTTAGAATATAATATTGATTGGACAGGGTTTTAAAGTTAATTGCATTTCAGTAGTCTATACAGCTGATAATATCTGCTTTATTTATTTTTATGACCCGTTTCGAAATAAGGAGAAAGGGATAAATTGTTTTTAGGCAGTAACGCCTAACAAAAAAAAAAATAGTAAAAATATAAACGAGTCCGAAAACTTAGTAAAATGTTTTGCCAAAGTGAAGTTTTATCCAGATCCTAATAATATTTTTACTTAAAGTGCCTGTCCACAGTCCTATAAGATAACGTATAAAGAACGAGGGGAAAATATATTCTTATATTGTCGTATCTCTTGTCAGTCGTTCGTTCATAAAGATAACAATATTTAAAGGTCTGTCCTAAATTAAGTTTTGTGTGTGTGTGCGTGTAAATCTTGTAATGTGGACAGACTATACTTGTGTATAGTATAATACTATGTAATGACAATTTATCGAGATCCATGTGTACACAATATAGAATCATAAAGTTTGGAGTTTTTTTTTTATGTTTTCTTATTTATCTATTTTTATTGCATAATGAACCCGTAGTAGGAGGGAGGACGTCAAAGAAAACTTTATATTATATTTTATAATCTCCTCGCACGAGAAACCTGTTAGGTCATCCAAAGTTATGACTGGATTCTGGAAATCGGTCCAAGTAGTCTGAACGGGAAACTTTTCACTGTTTCGACCTATTGTGTGTACACTGTACGCGGTAAACCTACTCGTGTAATATTCTTGTCAACGATAGATTTGCCTGTGTGTGTACTTAAAAATATAAATCCAATGGCTTATGGACGAACGATCGTTTGTCATAACCATCGTCGACTGTTATACACACAATAGCGTTGAAAAAGTTTCACTTTTTAATGTGTGTATGTGTAACGTTTGTTAACTACTTTGATAATATGCTTCTAGTCGGTAAAGGCTCTTACGGCAATAATTCAAAACTGTAAAAACTTCCTGTGACCACATTAACACGGACGGATTTAACACCATATTATTATAGTCGTGCTACCTGTCATATTACGAGCTCAGGTTTATGGTCGTAAATACTTCATAACAATTTTTCATTAAAATAGATAAGTACGACACACACATACTTGTGGAAAGTATTTCGAATACGCCTGGGGAAAATATCGATGAAAATCATTGTAATGTGTTTAAAATTGTAATTTCAGTATAAGACCGCATGTGTCTTTCCTAATAATTCGTTACCGCTGTCAACAATAGGCAAATCCACAACATACCTAGAAATTGATTACGGTCTAAGTGTAATTTCCCCCCCTTTTTTGAGGGTTTTTATTCATTCGTCGAATTAAGTGTACATTAACTAAAGAATATTCCACTTTAAACTATTATAATTAAAAGTATAATTATTGCTTGAAAAGTAATTATCCTAAGCTAATTATCGAAAAGTAAAAATGTTCATCAAATTTTCTTAACTTTAAAAGTTTATGAATTATATACGTTCCCATTTAATAAGTTTCAATGTTGATAGCACTCTGTCAAATACTAAAACATGTAAATATTCTGTAATTTAATTAATAATAGTTACGAATTTCGGAAGTTTTTTAAATTAATACAAAATAACTCGATGTGGAAAAGGTAACGCCATAAGAACTTTTGTGTGTTTTGACAAGTGACGTGGGACGACCCGAAAATAGTTTTCGATAATAATTTATCTGGACCGCCAACCGTAGAAGTGTACATTATTACCTACATTTGTATATGTACATATTTATTTAAAAACGATTAAAACATTTTACCGTTGAACAAGTAACAACAACAACTCCGAGAGCGACCAGAAGAGTTGTGTGTATTACTTTTCTTAGGACCCATTTCTATCGGTTCACACAGTTTAGGGGGCGGTCGGTATTCAATCGTGTCGTTGTTAAAAGAGGCGCCTATTTTGGAAATTGATTAAAATATAATATATTAAAAAAAAAAAATAAAGAAAAACTTGTGTGCGTGTGTACCATACGGTTCTATTGAACGGCAACCGGTTCGTCCGGAAAAAAATACATACCTTTATACCTACCGCGTGTGACTACTCCTATAATATTATTTCAGTACGGAATGCATTAACACAATTATTTAAATTTAAAAGAAAAACAATAAAATGCTTCTAAAATTCTTATCTCTTAGCCCAAAAGTATAATCCGTAGCATGCCCGTTCGATGAGGACTCAGAGAAGAGCACGTTAATAATTGTTAGTTAGATGTCGGTTTCGATCAAACGTGTCGTTATTGTTGGGAAAATGTGTAAAAAATCCATGGCGAAAATTGCAATAAATAAAGGAAAGTTTGTTAAAAAATTAACACTCGTGTATTGTTTTTTTTTACAGTTATCCTACAAAGAATTTCTGTGAACATTGGACAGCTGAAGATTCAAGGAGTAGCCACGTGCATGTACTTGTGTATGGACGCTTGCGGTCTACTTTACGGTTCGGTAAGGGTTCTTATGCTTAAAATAATACTAATATATATACATTTTTTTTAATTAATCTGTAAAGAATGACACATAATGCGATTATTTTCCAAACCCTTTACCGTTATAATGCTAATTATGAGGTAAACCCGACAGTATAGTACCTTCTTATCACTGCTTATCAGTCCTCCTTATCACACATCTTTATCACTCCTTATCTATTATGGTTGACTGATAAGAGATAATAAGTGATAAGGGGGCGTGCTAAGAGATAATATTATGTGAGAGATATTGTATTTAATTACCGATATGAATGTCAATACATGTGAAAGCGCGCATTTGAGTATTGATTTTTAAACGACTTCGGACTTACCAAAAGTCAAACCCACAGAAATAAGTCGAGTACTGAAATACTTTAATAAGTTAAGAACTGCGAATACATTGCACTCGGTATTACACAGCAGAAATGTTTGTGAAACACTTTTTTTTAACGAATTGAATTAAGTGAAATTTCTTTGAGGAGGGTAACAAAAAGAATTGACTATCGTTGAAGTAATCTTACAGAAATTAATGTGACAGGTTACAGCTTAGTACAAGCAACACAGTGTCGGCGTTGAATGAAAAGCAACCCTTCGCCAGGCTATTCATTGTCTGCTGTCGCCACAGATTTAATCCGTGGGCAACGAAAGGTTTCTGTACATCGGACTTTGGTGAATACAATTGGCAATCTGATTGAATCACAAACTGTGAGATTAACTATCTGATTTATTCTAATTAAACTACATCATTATATCATATTTTGATCGTGATTAAAGACTATTAAATACTACAGGTTGATATTCTAGAAACTTGTTTTAATCCGTGTAGATATTTTATTATAACGTGTTGAGATGGTTTTTACTACACTAATTACTACACTCAAGCATTTTAGTTGGATGTATTGGTTAAACATGTATTATATAATAGCTTGCAAACTATTTAGCCGGGTGCGCGGGCAGTAAGTATAAAATAAAATATGTTTCGTTATAACTGAGATAATTAAGTAAGAAAATTTAACCAATTCAAGTGTGAACGAACACTTAACGCGCACTAAAAATACTCCAATAAAACGGAGTTTGAATCTGTGAGATATTTAAGATACGGCTAAGACGAACGCTGAGCATCGGAGAGAATTTGAAGAGTTTTTTTTTAGTTCAACCCGGTCTTATGTGTCATTTTATTCTTCGTAAAAAGCCTTTAAATCCACATAACTCCGAAAGAAGGGGTTCACTTCATCTCAACATACAGTATTTCTTTTTTACTGATTTTTTAACAACGCCTTGTTCAATTATGGCGTAGAACACATGCGGCCGTTATAGTATGGAATTAAAAAATTAAAATGAAGACATTGCAAGAGATAATTTGCATTTTTATTGTACAACAAGTGAAGGTCAGTTTGAAAATGTAAAGAATGTATAGTTTATTATTTTCGGCGGAAGACGGACGCTTCTTCGATTCATTTCACGCGCCCTAACTGGTTTAAATTAATTCATATTTTAGCAATATCCCCCTTACAATGGAAATAAAAATAATTTGGTATATGGGTGATAAAATAGATTTGGGGACAATGCCGTTTTTATCATTTGGGTCCTGATGCGTGTTTTTTATAGGCCGTTTAAATTTATGTAATCCCACTTGTCGTCAAATGAATGCACCTAAATTAAACGGTTCTATTGTAGTGGAAAAAGGATATCATAAAACAGTCGCCAAGGTTAGATTTCAAACCGGACTCGACTGTAGTAGTCTACCCAAAATTAAGTCGTCTTCCCATCACCCACACGGTAATAAATTTATATAATATATTATTAAATTAATGTCGTTGCATATTTTATTGCAAACGTCATAATTATTCCCAGCCAAACATTCCTGAAATGTTCACACATACCAGCCTAGAAATTTACTACGGTCAAAGTGCAGTTTTGCCCTTTTTTAAAAGGTTTTTAAAAAATAATACCAGATTATTGGTCCATATAAAGTTATATTTTCCTTTAAAGCACATTTTTGTAATATAACTTCAGTAGATGAAAACACGGCATTATTTTGCTCTGATCGTTTATCCAGATTTTCCGAAAATGTCGATGGGGGGGGAGGGGTCCGGACCCCATTGACCCAATCAGCGACCTTCGGATACCTATAATTAGGTGCAATTAACCCGGCAAAATAATAGTGTTGCGCTGTGTTTTACATTGTATTTTATCGACGAGAATTTTCCATTTTAATTATAATAAACTAGACTGGAAAAAATTACAAACAACTTAATTTACAATATACATGCACATCTATATAGTATTATGTTAATATCGGTCAGCGGTATTTACTCAAGGCGTTTGGCGTAGGTATAATATTATACTCTCATATTATAACGGTGGTCGTTCGGCCGCCTCGATAATCGTGCACAGGACCTGTTGTGTTATCGCCAATAATAATTACTATGTACAGGACAAATTATAGGACTTCATATTACCTAAAACGACAGTGCGGTTAGTTTTGAGTTTGTGTTACATTTAGATTAGACGCCGCTCCGTCCGTTCTTCGAATGCTATTAAACGTAATAAAATTAACATAATATGCAACGAATATCTCGTTTGTGTAAACCTTACTAAACTACCTACTCGTTCAAGTATTGAAATTAGCCGGTAAACGTGATATTATAATATGTATACTATACACAACACATTGTGCGCCTATCTATTACACGCGATTTCACATAGCACAAATAGCCAAGAGGAGGACATTCGTTAATCGTCACAAGTCCTGATTGTTGTTTTTTTTTTTAATTAAACCCATAACGTGTATTAATTATTATTGCTATACATGATACTTTTTTTTATATTTGAAAAGTAAGACTTTTTTTTTGAAATTGTTATGCAAATACAATATACCTACTAATGATTATGTTTTCAGTGTTATAACCGTTGTTACAACATTTTAGCAAAATTACAATCTAACATAACGTCATAATAATTTACTGTATTAATTTAGTTCCACGACGGTCCATTGATAATCCTTAAAATGTTACAAAGAGCCGCCCCATTCTCAAGTCGGCACAGTTAAAACGAATGGTTAAATACCTACCTAAGGGGACGTCATGTGTGGATATCCGTTAATCCAGTCCCCACGCTGTGATATTATGCCAGCACAAACACAATCCGTTATACTAAGAATACGTTTTTTTAAGCATTATCTTAATACTCATTGATAAACGGACATTAAATTATTATTATTGTACCCTAAAGCCTAATCGATCAGATTCATATTATTCTGTACCGTCTAACTTGACAAATTAACGATGATAATTGCTGTATTGTGTTTTTGAAAAACGAACATTATACAATTTAAATCTCTTCTCCAATTCGGTCGGGTTAATTGTAAATCAAAGGGTGTCTAATAAAAAATTCGTTAAAAAAACATTGTAGATTGCATCGACACAACTCGATTAAAAGTGTTAGATAAAAATTAAATATGTATTACCCAGAAAACTTTAAAAATACTCAAAACTTGTTATGTTCCTTAAGTAGTTTATTTTTTTTTACAAAACACTCGAATAGTCCATGTGTTTTAGTATAACAAATCTAGGGTTAAAGTTATTGGTATACCCACCACCCACTCTCTGTTCTCCTCAACTATTATGAGATTAAGTACACAAAAAAAGGCCTAGGCATGTACATTTTTTTTTAAAAAAATAGATAATTACTACACATATTGACGAAAACTTCACTTGGCGTGGAATACCCAATTTGAATTTTTGTTCGGAATACAATCCAAAATACATCCTTTATTTTGGATTTGTTTTGACCAGATCCAAATCGCGTATGAAATTTTCTCCAATGAGTTTGTTGTTTTTTTTAAATCGCATACATTTTTTAAATTAAAGTATTCCATTAGCGGGTTATGTTATTTCCAAAATCTTTTCTCTATACATTTTTTTCTTTTTAGCCAGATATATAAAAATAGTACGCTTTAGGTTAAATATTAAACTAATTAGGTAAAAAAATAAAATAAAATCAATTTGCTTGTCCTTCGACGGCGAGATCGAACTTTCTTTTGGGATTTATACATAACTGATATAATAATAAATAATGTCCACCTTATCTCCCACAAACCTTTGTCGCCGCTCATAACCACCGAATAGAAGAAAGTGATTAATCCCGGCCAGACAGTGTCGCCAAAAAAATATCAATGAATTGCGATATACTGTATTTATACCTATATATATTGTAATTTGTATTGTTATATAATTAGTTCGGCCGTTGAACCCGACTAAATGAATCCGCATAATATATTTTCGTCGTCTTGGTCTTAACGAGACAACGTGTAATTGTTTTCTTTTTACATGTCTTATATACCGAGTGATCCATTTAACGTAAGACGCTCATTTTCTCGGAATTTTAATTTTTTAATTTCGTAATTTTTGGGAAGCTGAGAGGGTGGGTTTTTACAATGGTATGTTTTTATCATTGTGTCTGGCACTACAAACAGCTCTTCTAAGCCTGTGAACTGATTTCTTCGCATGTAGCAACTCTATAGATTAGAAATCGTACTTGAAAGGTACTTGATTGGGCCGAAAAATGACAAAAAAAAACCCTAAAAATTTACAATTATTTAACTTAAAATTTTAGCGCGCTATAACTTTCTAGAAAAATGTCCAATAGCGGGTATGGAATATTCTTTGGATGATACGCTATCGGTACAACCCAGCCAAACCAGTATAGATCAATTTAATATCACTAAGCCTTTCTCCTAGTCGGATACTTTTTCTTTATTTCGCTTTTTTAGGTGTAGTTTTAGAGCAAAAGATCTGAGAATCGGACAGTTCAGGTATGATTTTTTTCTTAAAAATTTGTAGTCAAACTTTTTGTTTCTTAAGAAAAATAAGGGGAATAGAGTATCATTTTACCGTAGCAAAATGTCTACGTTACTGTGTGGTAGAGTGAAAACGATTTTTGTCTTACATTAAACGGATCACTATGTATACCGGCTCA